TCATGGTCACTGTGCTTGATACGGTAATTTTGATGATCAGATCTTGCTCATTAGAAAGAATACTACTTTACATTTCATCTCACACACACACACCCCAACGTCGACTTTTACTAGTTCTGGCGGTATGCACTTTTCCGTTCAGCATTGCATTCAATCTGATAAATTAGAGCCTCAAGGATGGTTCAATCACACCGGATGTTGTGACAAGGACCCGAACAATACCGCGTTTCACGATCCAGTTGCGTTTAGTGTTGAACCGATACAGATATCCTTAAACAGTACAATGGAGGGATATTTTGATACCACGCCAAAGCCGTAGTCGGAAACAATATTTATCTCACATTTTGAGTAACACATTGATTGTAATGAACAAAGCAAAGACCCGTCAATCGTTTCACATTAAAAAACTCACTATCAAAAGAGATTAACTGAAGAACATCGCACTAGTTCAACTAACCACAACAATTCAACTTTATCTCACCACGCCAGTACATCGAGCGTCATTATCGAAAGCGGATGCGTGTATCTACCGCGACTGGTCAATCACTCACTTATAACCGGAAGGCGAATATTTCAATCTGCGCACTGGCAGAACAAAAAACAAAGACAGCAAAAAAACGTGGACAAAATCCAGAAACGATCCATGACTTACGTGGTATTTGGACCGTTGCTGGTCGTGGTAGGATTCGTCTCGGGTTGTGCTTGGGATGACCGATTAGTAATGACTTCGGGAGAGGAGATAACCGGTGTGATTCCAGTCAAAGTAACTCCACTGTTCGTGTCGGATACAGTTGAACGCTTTTTGGAGCTAATCGCAGTTAGTTCAGGTGAGTATTCCTAAGAACATTAAAAAGCGGAGGAGGCATGTGTAAACTTGGTGAATGAACACCAACGGAAATGAGAAATAGGGGTGAAGGAATTCGATACATAAAAACCATAATTTAGGAGAGTAAAAAAGGAATGAACCGGAGTGCGCTATTCCACCCGGAAATAAATTTACTCTGACCAAACAGCAAACAAACCATTGCTGTTTATAATATCAACAGCACTAACCTAAGCAAGCACGTCGCGTGCACAGCGAAAAGCTACTCAGTTCAGTTTGAACAACCATTAACCATGCACTTTCGTGCGCCGGTTTTGGAAAAGCTACTCATCACGCCGGATAACAGCCACCATAACCGGTGCCAGTAAATAAGCAACAATATTGCCCTAAAGTGTGCGACTACCAAACCACAGTACTGAAAACTGGTCGACACAGAATCCACAGCATATCGGGATCAACGACTGCCCAATTACTATTTCGTCTAACAAANGAGAACAAGTGATTCATACAATACCACACGAAATTTGGTGTCTGTACACATAGTGTGCTTGCGTCACACACGACGAAAACAACCATACATGAACAGACTACTAAATAGTGTCGGTGCTAACCTATATGAACAACTCGCGCAAACTAATTTGATTCACAACGGGGCTCGTTGGTCACTGATCTTTTGCTTCCACGTAGTGTTGTCTGAAAATAGCTGGGAGCGGGAAAGTTTTCAGTCTTTTGAATCCAACCAGTGTGAGTGACCAACCGATAAAATGTTCAAGAACACCGTGCGAGACGAGCACGGGTTGAGAGGTTAGACAGACCATTTGATGTTTGCCGTGCACTTGGTCTATAGAATACAAACAAAATCGGGTGCATCCAGACAAGAGGCACTTACTTCTGCTATCTCGTGAGTGATTCTCTACTGGAGTAGTACGGCTGTATATGGTAGAGATGACTGAACCCATTCAATGTAATCGAATACTGAAAGTATTTATGAAGCCGGTGAAATCGAATGGATGTTGCTTCAGTTTGGAACACACCATAATCCCGATTGCCATTCGTCATTTTCGTTTCATCTCAGAGAAAGACGAGTAAACCCTAAGGGTGTTGCCGAATGGTAAGGCCAGTGATGATCAAGTTTCATCGGACAACAAAATGGACAGAGTGTGGTGAGTAAACTCAGAGATATATGACACTCGCCGAGTGTGATGGATCAAACCGAATCGCTGTGTGACACGGCTGTACACAAAGAATTCGTGCTACGAGGCAATCCGGTAAATAACCTTGAATCGATTTCGTTTGAACACAAACGGTTTTGTTCTATTTGGTCACAGCTTGACGACACGATAAATATTTGAAATAATTGTACGAAACTAAGTTTACGTGGGACATTCGAGAAAAACCTGCTAATGTAGATCGACTTCGTAAGCAATGAAACTTGTGCCCAATTGTTGTATTCATGTAAACAATCAAAGGGTAAGTTCCATTGGGCTCAAGTAAAATTACGGAATCGGAAAGACCCATTGAAGCTTCGATGAATCGAACGTTTGGCGCAAAAAATATATATGCGCAAAACGCGGGAAGTTCATAGTATATAGTGTAGTGCAGCTATTTGGTGGAGCGACTTCATTGTCGGAATCATCAATATAAGTAGAAATCCGCTGCAAAACATAGGAGCGCCAGTCGACCTTGTCTTCAATTAGCACTTTGCAGCCTGCGATCACCTGTATGGTTCAATTGTGAGTGACTCTTCAAATCCTTTAAAACCGGCCCCTATCGCTTCACGTCTACGTGTACCACCAGAAATAAATTGAAATCTGTTATGACAGACAGAACTCTGTAGTGTGCTATCTTCCTCGTCTACTGGTTTGTAGGAAACGACTATTCGACTAACTGCCGCAATGCCTAATGTAGTTCAACTGCAAATCAGGCTTTCCGTGACAGGGTCTGCTCCTCCTCCTCTTCATAATCACTCGTCAACCATGCAATTGGTCTATGATAAAATCAATAAAATAACTGGAAAGTCGTTGACGACGAGCGCATAATGTGCATTTTGGACAAAACTTGAATAGAAATCTTGACCGCACATACAAGAGCGGAAGCCCCGTCAAACGCACTGGATGCGAATCGGCAACGATTTCTAGTGGGGTCAGAACAGCTGAGAAGATGCTTCAATGTCAAAGTGGAGTGTGAATATGATCAGGACCTCGTTGGTCAGTTCCAACATTCGCTCGCTGTGGCGAATTGGCTGACCTCACTGATCTTCTAAATTACCGCATGCACACACACACACACGTGCGTGTGTGAGACGCATACACGGATCGTGGTTGAACCAAATCAGAGAGGATTTGCTGGTCAACATGCGTGGTTTCGCAAGTTTTCGACAAGGCAGAGAAAGATGCAAAAAGAAGACCGGAGGGGGGTGATAACCTACATTAACTCCAGTTAGTGAGGCAAGTTCGAAAATTTATCTGCCTTCTCCTGTGATGGTGTTGACTGCCTCAATGTTTCATGTCGACCTAAGTTTTCCCCGTTTAGGAGCACAATTACTACCAATCTCTACATTGNATCAAAATCAGCACCTTTTACGATGCACTGATTCGTTTCATTGCGGAAGATTTACCTATAACTGTTGGTAATTTTAATCGTGAATCAACCCAACCTACACATTCGTTAGACCTAATAGATCTCTCCCTAACACCCACCAGAGAATATGATGTATCAGCCAAGGTCATTACTAACCATCCTATTATTTTCTCTCTCTAACTGAAAACGCCAATCTCTACTAGCGACTACCGTCTCTTATGTCTTGGACTAAAAGTTCACTCTCGGTTGGCATACCCCGCTTTTATTCAGACAAAACAAATCAACAAAATAATTCGGAATCTTTAAACCGACAGATTTTTTCTTGCCAGATAATTACTTGTCATTGTCTCTTCGTGGTTTTCCGTTTAATAACCTCTGCTCTGTTGAACAGTTTACCTAATCAGCTAATGTTAATTTATGCTGCCCATAAGACAGCATAAGCTGTTTCCATAAGAAACAGTTTTCGCTCACACTGGCAGAGTATGCTCTCCGCGGCTAAAGGCCTTAGATGACGAAGAGAACAAGCGTTCAAGATGCACCTAACATCCACCATCAAACAGCTTACGCTGCAAATCACAGGAGAGATCAAAAGACTGAATGCTTCATTCCCAAAAGTGAGTGCTCGGAGCTGGAGATGGAAGACGGTTATGGAAAGGAATCACATTGCTGCGCAGTTAGAAGAAACGGACAACAAACAAAGTATTGACGTGGACAGCCTAAACGCTGCATTGATTTGTCTTTCAAATGATCTCCTGACACCGTACCCCACTGATTGCCTATACACCGTAGACCCGGTTATCCACGAGATCTATTTTTTAAAACTATGAAAATTACGAATGCAGTTGGTCCCGCTGGTTCATCTTCGTCTATACTCAAATATAGCGCTGGTTCACACACAGAGATGGTTGCGTCCCTTAGTAACAAATACATTTACGTATGTTCAACCAGTGATTCCTGGAGACCGCTAACTATTCATCCCATTCCCAAATCACCTTCATCTAGCATTTTATCTGAACGCCTTTGACTAATCGTCACAGATTAACAGGCCGCGCTAAAATCACCCGCCGGCAGTATGGACTTATTGCTTCCAATGAACCCTTCACTTTGTGCATGAGCCAAATATATGTATTTCGCTTCCTACCTCTTCACTGCCACACATTATTTACAAATTATTCGATTATTTACAAAAATTCAGATAGTTGTGTTTTCCTTGATTAGTCTCCCGCTTTTAATTCAGATCCACGGTCTCTCTCCTAAAGTTACAGTCATTTGATTGCGCCACCACTCGATTGTCGTGGTTGGAAGACTAGTTCACAGAAAGGATTCAAAGAACGAAAACAAACGGCACTATTCCAAAACCTTTAGTGAATAATTCTGGAGTCCTTCAGAGTGCTGTGCTTTCTCCATGCTTATTCTTAACATTCAACAGTGACTTAACCTCTATCCCAACACTTTTAACTATGCTGATCAAGTGGTCTTATGTCAAGCAGTTAACAACCGTGTGTTAGCACCAAGTCTCACGTCTTACTATTCACTAATCCGCAGTGTGACGCTTAATTGATCACGGAATCCCTAACTGGTCAGATCTGTAAATGTGCATTATGCAAGAATAAAAATTAGAACCCGGGGAGATTATACGATCGTAAAACGAGTATCATAAAGCACGCAACCAGCTAAACTGCGCCCGTGTCCTTCGATCTAATACATTTAAAATGACCACGCTCTTAATGCTAAACAATTAGACCATTTCGGACTTAATCTCTAAAGCTCCTCAACTGCATTATCATCATGTATATCATTTGGCAACCAATTCAAGAGATTACGCTAAGTTAATCTCCTTCAGACACAAGACATCTGCATTTACGGATTCAGAGCAGAATGACACGGAAACAGAGTGCGCATTCGAATTAGTTTATTGCACACATGAGTGTGAAGAACAGTAAAAGTGGATGAATCTAATAGTGACGAGAACCTACTGTTTGGCTACGGGAGTTGATAACTCAAGCTCTGGACTTTGACGTAGTGAACTATCGCAAGTCCTAACAGGGTGTGCGGTATCAATCTGAACAGCAATTGATTTACCCAAAACTCTAAACCCATTAGTGCATCATCAAAGTAGTGCAAGTTATTTTAACCAATCAATGTTTTGCTATTATTATGTTGATAAAAGGAGAAGTTAGCCTGAACAAACTGATGTGCACTGAGAACTAAAGAGCAACAATCGAGTAGTCTCTATCAGAATCAATGCGCTTCATTCGAATATTGACCTAATTTAGAGGACTATTCCGCAAACAGTAGGTTGGGTTTTTTNTTTTTTACCTCGACTGATAATGAATAGAGTGCGGGAAAACAAATGTTGAACATTCCCCTGATCAAGTCCAGTTCCCCGAGAGCAAGCTACATGATACAACTCATGTGAAAACACAAGGAGGAGAAATCATTCAGCCTCGATAAATAACAAAAAGATTGTTCCGACAACGGGTTTAGGTGTGCATCCAAAACTAATTTTGACAGAAAACGACTGTCTATCGTCAACATCCACCAACTACTACATCTTTATCTAAGCTCGATCGAGAGAGTTGTCAAGCAGTTAGTTTTACAGACTCGCCGACACCAGGGGAGTATTATCTGAGGGGAGGGAATGTCAGCATTTCTCGCGGTGGGGAAAACCTGAGTAATTCACATAGTTCTGTTTATGTCCAGCGTTTGGCAACGAATTTCTAAATAATGTCATTGTCGGACAAAACCAACCTCTAGGTTCGATTTCCGCACTTGATTTTGTTGACAACCAGCACGTACCAATCAACACGTATAGCCACTACATTATGTCTACCGCTGAAGGTATTAAGTGAAGAAAGCAAAGCATGGCCCGAATGAACACAAAATAAACTTCATTATACACCTCTGACGCATTGGTGTCAATCCCATCCTCATCATCACAAAGCGAGATACAATGAAGCCAACTTTAATGATTGCTGCCAAGCTCACAATGTACACAAATCAAGTGATAAAGCACAAGATGGAGGGATTGGGCCTAATTGGTGGGAGGTAAAGAAAAAGAACCTCTATGGTCAACACACGGAGTACACAATCTAAGTGTTTATGCATACCTTTTCAAGTATTCTGACTTGTTAAGAAATAACAACAGGAACGCCACTGCTGTCGGTTAGTCGCCATATCCTTCAGTGTCTCCAACCAACCAGTTGCAGAGTCCCCAGCCTGGATCCCAAGATGGAAGACGGGAGACACCGATTCTACCTAATCGCTCTGTGCATTTCTTCATGTCTCGCTTCCACGTCATCTGTTGACCTCCACGCGCTTTCTTCCAACCTGGAGCCCCAACTGCGAATAAGGCACGGTGCGGCAGACGATGGCTGGACATGCGCATTACGTGTCCTAACCAGCGAAGCCGACCAATCTGAATTCGATGGGACAACTAATTCTCCATCGAATCATTACTAAATACGAGACGACTTACCTCAGAGTTGCTTACAAGCCGCTCCATCTAACCCGCGTCAAACTACGTAAACATCTGCAGTCGAATACTTCAAGACGACGAATATCTTCCACACGCAAATACAGAGTCTCGCAACCATAGAGCAGAACTGGCCGCACACTGGCGCAGTATACAAGACCTCTCAGTTCCAACGAAACATCGCGTCTGCACCAAAGGCACTTCAGTCTTGCGTAAGCTGCTCGAGCCTTGGAAATGCGGGCGGTTACTTCATTGACTATGCTATCGTCATTTGAAACGCAGCTACCCAAGTAGGTGAAACATTCCACTACAGCTAATTCTTAACCATCAAGCATCGGCGCGGAGTCTTGTACACTTTGCACTTTCAAGGTGCAAAGCACATGCCGAAAGGAGTTACGGAACATGTTAGTCTGTCAAGGGCGATTTGCACATCCTCCATACATTGAAACAGGTAAACGGTGCTGTCAGCCTTGCACAGCTTTTCTCCAGCTGACCAATTCAATAACTACTTTTTCGAGATGATCGAGTGCGTTCTCCAATAATTCGTTTACGACGAAATGGAACAGGAACGGTGAAATAGGACAGCCTTGGCAACGATTCACTTAGCCTACCGTAGACTCTTACGCCACCAGAAGTAGGCAGGTACAGCGATGGCATTAGGCTAGTGTCAACGAGTATTTTTAGGTTGACAAATCAGCAATTATATCCCAAATCCGCAGTCTAACATCATTAAGTAGTTATAGAAGTTAATGATGAAATCATTTCAGTCGCATAAATGTCTGGCTTATTTCGTATATTTTTATCCTCAAACTCTGCAGAGGACAGGTCGTAAAAGCAGTATCAGCTTTGAACTATTCAGATCGTCTGTATAAGTGAAAACTTTTGAACCACATATGATTGGACCATTTCTTACGAGATAATTTATGCGAGTAACAAAGGCTACTTGTTCCAAGCGCTGCGTGAGATAGGATGGGTGAAAAACAATCAATCGCGCTGTATAGTTCGCACGGTATGTGCGCAGACAAATGGGATACTGACCTCGAATTGAGGCAGGACAGCGGGCATGTCAACACCGTGATTCGCGGACCACCAGTTCAAATCGGCATCAATGTCCATCTGAGCGATCGACTCTTCCAAGTCTCGATAGATCGCAGTGAAGCTGAACGGAAACCGGGGGGAGCAAGACCATTGGAAAAATAAAAGAACGAATGATGAATAAATGATCAGTCAAATCCTGCTCATCAAATGTACACAGGCGGGCCGAGGGGGGGAACAACCTACACCAACAACAGTGGGTAATGCTCAACGTGGTCGGAGTCAAGGCACAAAAGCGTGTACGAATATATACACAAACACACAAGGTCTAAACTATAGAGTTAAGACACATCACCCAAACAGGTCACAGCAGTGTGCACATTTAGGCTGGATAACTGACATTGATTGGTTATACTGAATTTCGGTGTATCCTATATTTATGGAACTAAAGTCTATCTCATAAGGACAACGATACGTGTTTTAGTCACAAAAAAGGAGGCAGCTGAAATGCTAAAAAGTCAGTCCGCTCAAGTGTTAACCGCACCTGCGAACACCGGACTACGACTGCCTCTGTT